TGATGTACCCCTAGCAAAGCCGTAATAATATTGTGCAATCATCCAGTACATGTATCTATTATATATAATGGTATCAAGATGGTCGACATGAAGGGTGATATGATTCATATATTATCTTCATTAATTTTTAAGATCATAGGGTTTGAGAACAAGTATCATATATGAATTCATTGGAGATAGAAAAATTTCCTAGTTCTTCGATATAATTATTTGAATTTTCATTTTTTCTTACTTTTTAACCTCGCATTCTCAATCAAATAACTATTCCAAAATGCTTTTTTTTTTTTTTTTGCAAAACTGGAGTTCAAACATGCTCTAAAGTTATTGAAATTCTTGGTTAATATAATATTTGCTTCAATTGACTAATATTAAGTCTTTCTTTTCTCATTCAGGAGTTTCTTACAAAATTTAATGAAGTGGTTGGTATCACTTTACCATAATTAATAAAGGAGTAAATAATATTGTATAATATTACTTTATCAATAACTTAACTACATCCATGATTAAAAAATAAATAAATAAAATAACAAAAGGCCCATAAATTTTGGTAAAAAAATTGTGATGCAAAATCAATATAATATAATGTGTCAAATATATGTGCATATTTATTAGCATAAAGTTGTTGTATACTTCCCTTCAAGGATAAATATTTATTTATAAATTCATATTTAGATATATCTCATCATGAGATCAATCATATAATTTTCTTCAAAAATATTTAATATTTAGAAATTTTTGCTTTATCGTAGGAAAAATATATTAATTTTATAAATATTGATGTATAAAGTTGTGTCTTTTTTATACAAAAAAGTTGACAAAGAATTAAATAATCACTTGACGTGATATTGCGTTTCTTCAAGAACACTGTCATATTCCCGAGAGATATTAGAATACTAATTTGTATACAATTATACATTTTCAAGAGTATATAAATAATATTTTTTTCTAAAATAAAAATATGATAAAGTCTTTCCTTGAAATAACAATCCAATATTTTTCTAGAATAATGAAATATTTATATATAAATTATGCTTCTATATGAATTTTCATCTTTTTAGTAATAACAAAATAAAATTATTCTTGAATATTGGTGTAGTTGGATTGTGTTTCTTCAAAAATAATTCATGAAATCGATCCTTAGCAAATGGGAGATTTTGATTTGGTACTGAAATGGGAATTCTTGAATTGCCGACTTTAAACCCTTCTAAAACCTCGTCCTCGTGTGTTCCCGTGCTCTGGGCTAGAATCTATGTTGACCAAACCCTTTATCAAAGTTAACATACAATTTCAACCCGACTGCACCATTTTTCACTGTACAAGGTAAAATAGAATTAGGGCTAAACTTGAATGTAAATTTGATTGTCGATTAGGGAATTTTTATCTACATGACAAATATGTCATAATCATTTTGCAACTGTGTTTTGCAATCGTTTCTTGATGTTGGCATTTCACGAATTCAATCTTCATCAGCATTGCGTTGACAACTTGACATGACAATGCCCAATTGGGCTGCAAAAATTCTGAAACCCTAATTAATGCTACCTACCTCTTCTGCATTACAATTTACACAGCATTTAAAATTAGCCCAATTGGTGGCCAACTTTAGTAATCAATGCAGACAATTCACCACATTTAAACTGGATTAGCAGAAAATACATTAGCTGTTGAATTATGTATTTTTCGTTTCTGGGCACACTGCAATATGGCTGTTTTTCATCGCCATCTTTATGTTTTGGCTCCTCTGCATTCGTGTTTATCAATTGCTCGCCACCCCATATCACAACACAAGCTGGGAAATTCATTTAAGTGCCCAACTTTTGTGCCATTTGCTTTGCCAAATTGTAACCATGCACCTGCCGTATCTTCTTTTACTCAGGTAAACGATAATCTTTGCTTTCTACTGTTTTCAATTTTTTCAATTGTTTGTCTTGTGGGTGATTACGAAACGGATAATTGTTATTTTCTTTCTTTGTCTGTTCTGTTTTTGATTTTTTTAGTTAGTTATTTTTAAGTATGTGGTGTAGTTGGTCGAGAGTTTGATAAATGGTGTAGATTTATCGGAAGCTGAAGCCGAGGCGTCTCTCGATTTCTTGTTGGATGGTGCTGATGAGGCATTGATTAGTGCATTTCTGGTGCTTTTGAGAGCTAAAGGAGAAACTTATGAAGAAGTAAGTGCTTCTCTTTATGTGCATACATAAGCAAATGTCTCTGAATCTGGTTTTTGTTATGCCTTGGAATGTCAATTATTCTGCAACATTGCAAATTGTAATCTTTTTAGATACTTCTGAGTGAGAAACATTGCATTCAAAGAGCAATGTCACAGTCTTGCGTATAAACTTTGATTTGGATGGTCCAGTTTCTTAAATGAAGTTCAGCTAGACATTCTTTTCAAAGTGTTCAAGCTGTTAGAGAGTGACGTGATATTAATTTAAATTTAGTCTTTGACACTCCACGTTCAATTTTCATCAATGGCTCTGGAATGTCGACAATTTTCATAAAGAGCGGCTGTGATACTTGAACACAAAATCTTTGCATGTTCTGATATCATATTAAACTACCTCAATCTAAAAGTTTAAGTTGTTTGAGAGGAAACACAATTATAATTTATATTTATATATAATTCTTAGAGGTAGTTACGAATTTATTGGAAATTTAAAAATTAAATGTGTCCGTGTAAAACATGATTTATCTGTGTGATAGGAAAGTTTACGATGATCAATTTGAAACTGTTAGGCAATAATGCACCATGATGTGGCATATATATTTGTTACGGACCTATGTTGAATTTTGTTGGATTGATTCCCATCTTTTTGTTGCTGGCCATCACCTTATTATGGATATAATGTCATCCAGAGCATTGAGAGCAATATTATGAATAGATACTATACATTGTCTTTTATCACATGGGCTCGAGTGTAACTGATTGGTGCTGTACCGATGCTGGTATGAGAATGTGTATTATGGTTCAAATACATGGAAATATCCCATGGTACAACACAAGGAAATAATTCCTAATAATTAACTGTTAAATAGGTAGTTGGATTTGCAAGAGCAATGATTAAGTGCTGTAGGAAAGTGGAAGGGCTAAGTGATGCAGTTGACATTGTTGGGACTGGTGGTGATGGTGCGAACACGGTGAACATTTCTACTGGAGCTTCAATTCTTGCTGCGGCTTGTGGTGCAAAAGTTGCTAAGGTAAACATTTTTCTTCCAGGAAAGTGGTTATTCTAGATTTTCCTTCATATCATTAACTATTTAAGATAATGGGATGAAAACGACATTAAAGTCAAGTTGTTTCATTACAGCAAGGTAATAGGTCGAGTTCATCTGCCTGTGGTAGTGCTGATGTACTTGAAGCATTGGGGGTTGCTATTAACTTGGACCCTGAGGTTTGTTTGTGCAGTTACAGTATCATAAATTTCACGGTTATGTGTTGATGCTGCTTATGCTTTCTGATCCCCAAAACTATCTGGTCAAATCATCAGGATACTGTGGGAAATTTTAATAATCTAATCTCAATCCGATTTAACTTGTTCTCCTCGTATATGCTATGGCAAAATTTGAAATATCTGGAAAGAAGTACTGTTAGGAACACAGTTTGTCTTGGTGTTAGTACATAATGGAAATTGAATAAACAGGTTGGTTAACTTTTAAAACAGATTTATATTATTTTCCTGTCAAAAACATGGCATCCTCGTAACGAGTACATCAATAATCATCTTTAGTTTTCTTTCATTTCATATTTTGGTTTCAATGGAGGTTTAAGTACCATAAT